CCACTCCCTGCTGCTGTCTTTGCTCAAGCTAATACCTGCCAATCTAAGAGAGCACAACAAAAATGCTGTTTTCTTTCCTCTCTGTGGGTCCTTGTGAATGATAGGAAGACACTCTCTGCTGATGTGTATCAAGTGATCCGCAGTACTTTTAAGCCCATGTCAGCTGTGCATCTCTAGCAAATGGATTAATTATACATGACTAGTGCAAGCTGAGAGCTCTCTGTGGAAGCAAGCAGGCTCATTTGCACTAAGGACACAGTACCTAGTGGCCACAGGAACAGAGGGTCTGATGGGAGCTTTTGAAATCATCTAGATGACCTCTGTCTCCCTTGAGAGATGGGGTTTTTTTCCATTTGGTGCTTCAGTTGCAAACCTAAATCCTCCTGACTAGCCTGTTCTAGTGTTTCAATACCTTAACCTTTTAAAGCATTTTTACCTGATGCCTAATGTCAAGCTACCTGCTCTATAAATCCATTTCTTCATGTCTCATCTGCTACTCTGGGCAGAGGAGAGGTTATTCCCCTGCATCTGGCAGCAGTCTTTCTTGTACTGTTACCATGCCTCTTCACTTGCACTAAATGAGCCATGTGTAATTGTATAAACGAGCCATCAGTGCATACCATCTTATTAATAACACGTAATTATTCACAGACAGCACTTGGCAATAGAAATAAAAGCTGGTAGGTGTGGGTTCCTACCAGAGGCAAGAGGCATTAGGAGGCTGCTCAACACCTTTCAGAAGGTACTTAGGAATGGGTCTTCTCTAGTACAGGAATTTTACAAACTCACGTTGCTTATCAAATATTTACGAGAAGAGGGATGCGCCCATGGACTTACTTCAGACTGGAATGGAGTGCAGGCTTGTGCTAACCCTTTCTACAGGGTGAACTTCACTGCAAAGACCTGACTGAGAGGCAGCCAGGCTGCCAATTAACACTGGGGAAGACGAGCTGCATCCACAGGAAGGGGATGCGAGACTTGTGACAGCCCGTGTTACCAGGCAGGCCACTCGCAGCCATTTTACTACAGAGAGGGGTACATACTTGCAAACAGGAAACTCTTTCTATTGATATTACTGGGCATTGTGCCAGGCTGCTGAGATGAAAGAGTGATACTTGGGAACACACTAAGTGATAATGACATGAAGAAGCACTCAGATGGCCGTTTATTTCAGATGTTGTGGTGACAGGTCCTCACACAGACCCTAGTGCTGTAAGTAAACAAGAAATAAAAGTCCTTGCATTTTTTCAGGAAGATATATGCCTAAGGAAGAAAGTCCCATATAGAGGCTGTGCACCAAGAGCTTCACCGGCTACCTGTCCCCGCATTTTAGCTTTTATGCAACTTAGAAGCCCTGATGAACAGTGCATGCATGGCAAATTATAATGTGCATGTTTTACTACAGAAAATGCAGACATATTGTGGCTCATGCTGTAGGGCCTAAATCATCACATTAGCTCTTTATAAAAAACAGAGATCGCTCAGCCTCATGGGAAAGACATTTGCATCTTCATCATTACAGAGGCAACAAACTTCATCCATAAAGATGTGCCTTGAACAAATGGCAGCAAATTGTGGACACATGTTTTGCTTTAATTGGTCCTCATCAACTCAATCTAGCTAGTGACTTCAAAGAGCTCTTACTAAGAAATCCTCCAAATTTTTTGTTTCAATCTTTTTTGGGGTTTTTTTTTGTTCTTTTAATGTCTTAAGACATTTCAGATTTAATTGAATCTTTGAAGATACAGTATGAAAGCACTACTTCTTTACAGTTTTACATCACATGTTTAATTACTCATTCATAAATTATGAATGACTAGAGGTAAAGTAGCATTGCCCGGAGCCCCTGTCCTGGGCCAAGTGTAGTGCTACAATTTTCACAAACTCTACCCCTTGACAGCTGGGATCAGATTCAAGCCAGCTACAACTCTATTCAAAAGAGCAGCTGTTGCTAGTGCCATTTTCACATGCTACTCTTGATCAGCATGAATGGATGGAATGTGCTCTTTTTGGAAAGCAAAAGAGTATGGATGGCAATAGAATGCTTACATAACTCATATGAAATTCACCAAAAAACCCAGACATAAGCTACAATCAAAATCTTATTTATATATGGGTCTGATTTTAAAAATACAGCTAACAAGTCCCACTGTTTGACAATCAAACCAATGTCTACATAAGTCTTTTTCTCCAGCCCCAAAGCCAAGAAGCTCTCTAGAGTAAAGAGTCCTACTGTCTCAAACACTGCACAAACACAGCTGAACACAGCACAAATGAACAGAGGTGGAAAAGAATTCATAGATCAGTTCAGCCACTACTGGCCCAGTAGCACAGCTGGGACTCCAGCAAAATGTGGCAAGCCTCATAACAACACGCCAGTTTGGAGGTGAAACTGCTTCTTCCTACATTTCCTTGCCACAGGCACACACACACGCATCCACAGGCACATCCACAGAGTCGTGTCTCTCCCCATGATCACTGTTTCTACAAAACCCACCAACACTTTGTTCCATCTATCCTAGATTTTCTATGTTTATGCATTCCCTATATTCCTATTTGCAAGAATGCATACATAGGGCCATTCTCTCTATAGCCTTGCACCTCAACCATTCACCCATGCCACAGCAGACAAGAGGAAAACACTGCCACATTACCAAAGCAGCACCACAGACCCACTTGTTGCAGTTGCAGATGAGGAAGGCAGGCAGGTGGAAGACATTGGTGAATCAGCCAAAAGCAGAATATCCTCTTTTGTTACTTTCTCTGAAAGTTTGTTTTTTCTTCAGCTGTATAGTAGCAGCGATTTTCCTCTTTTGTCCAAATGAAACAAATAGGACCATGCTGCAGGCCCTTCTTATACCATAAAGAACAGTCACAGGAAACACATTAAAGTAATTTCCTCTTCCTTGGACAGAATGCACTCTTTTGGAGTTTGTTTTTAGCACTCTGATGTAAATGGGGGAAAAGTGAGCTTAGGTAACACACCTCAGTGCATCTAAAAGCAAGCTAATATAATAGAATTTCGTAACTTGCCATAGGCTTTTTATAAACCAACCAGTGAAAAAAACCACATTCCAGATGCCCAAAATACCTCTTATATAGCTACAGTTGCTGTTGCATTTGTTAATGAAAAATATATTTATTACAAGTTTTTCCTGCACTCGGAGACATAAAGCAGTTTTTTGCCTGTCATTAGAAGCAGTAAGTTCAGAATCCGTCTTTCCAAATTACATCACCGAGTTGGCAATATTGCTGCATACTCCTACTATATATATGTGTGTGTATATACATATAGTTTTCTCAGTTTTTCCCTCTTTATATTCAGTGTTACTCTATTTGCCACCTATCCTGTCAAAATATGACCCTGAAAAATACAGTTTAAAGCAGCAGGGATAACAAAGGGGAATGCTGCCAAGCAGGGAAGCATGGTATTAAAAAAAAAAAAATATTTACAGAAAGACTCAACACTGTGACTGATTGGATGAAAAGTATACCTTCCTTATTTTCCCTACATGTTGGTAGAAATGTATTTATACAGTTCTGCTTCATATTTTCTTTACAATGAACCCAATGTTGGTCCAGAAACCAAGTTAGTTTTAGAGTAATCGCATTTCAACATGGTAAAATGCAGCAACATATTCTGGGTCCTTAGCTGTGGTGAAAATACCACAGCCCCCACCACGCTCAGTAGGTTCCTGGCTAAAATTCTCCTTGAGGAGCTCTTCCTACACTCCTGACAGGCACCAAATCTCTGGGAGCCAAAATCATGCTTCTTGGTAGGTCATGAAGGCACATCTGGCCTAGCTTTATGCTCAAGCAAAATAACCTTGGAGCCTCCCCTCTAATGTCATGAAGACACGCCTCTCTTTCTCCTGGGTCATAGGAGAAGCTGTACATAGGAATAAGAACATCAACCAATATAGCAAAGCAAAACTGAATCTCTCACTCTCTACCCTGATGATCATGAGTAAAGCAAAGATAAGATAGCAACCAGATTTCTGTAACAGCCCACAAAATACTCCTTAGAGTTAATTTTCACGCATCCAATAAAATAACAGTCCTTCCATTGCTCATTCCAAGCATACTAAGCATGATTTTCTGTTTTTTCTCTTGTTTTGGCCAGAATAAGAGAAATCCATACAAAATTGTCTATGAAAATATGTGTATTTGAGTGAGACATTCTGCTAAATTGAAGTGACAACATCAAAAAACTGGGACTTTTTTTTTCATTTTTACTGGAAATTAGCAATTTCCCTTGTAAAACATGACAGCAAGTGGTTATACTTACATTGTGTCTAGTCCTGCTTTATTTAATATCTACAATTTTGAAGAAAAGTTGTTGCTTATGATGCTTGCACTGAAAATTGTCAGTTTACAAAAATGGCCTAACAGTGTTGATACTGTTTTACATCTAAAACCTCCCCTTACTTCCATGAACAGGGGAGCCACCCTTTGCCCACACAGTACAAATTCCACCTGATGCTTTTGCTGGGCTTTCATATTGGATGGACTCTTCTGAAAGCCAAAACTTAGAAAAAGAAAGAAATTTTTCATCTCAGGAAGTGACACAGAATTTAGGTCTGTGTGAGACTAGACTTGTCCTCACGCACATATTTTTATGGAGTGGCGACCACCAGAAGTGCCAAGAGGGATGGATCCCTCTTCCGGAAAATGTTGTATTATTTCTTCCAGCCACTATCCTCCGTTTCTACATTTCATTTTTCTGAGGGTGATAGTTGTCTCAGTTGCCAGACACGGCAAATCAATTCTATTATTGTACAAAACTCTGCAGAATCAGCTGATATTTCAACTCATTTTTAATACATCTCTAAATATCTCAGACAACAGGGTAATTTAACTTCCATATGGTTCCTCCAGGTACCTGAAGCAAGACGCATGATTGAGTACTTCCCTGAATTGTACCCTGCATAAACATTACTATCTTACTTAAGGATTTGAATAGTTCCTTTCTTACAGAATAAAAATCAATATTTACTTACTAAACAGTTGGCAATAGAGGACCTGTAAGCTTCTCTTCATGGTATCATGTGGTCCTGCTGGTCTGCCAGTTTATTCATGATTCTGTCAAAAAAAAAGTTAAGAGAAGGAGAAAATTATATATGAAAAATATAGGCTGCCTTTTTACACCTGTTCATTACAAATTCAGATGAAGCTTCACAGGAAAATTGTATTGATAAGCATTGGGAAATTGCCTAACTGCCCTTTGCTTGCTTTAGCCACGCTCTCCAACAGCTTGGCAAGGAAGGATAGAGTTATGGCCAAACAGGGAAAATTTCTCAAGAGTATGTGAAATAAACACACTGAAAATTACTTTCATGCCATGCATATGGCTTGATAAAGTTAATTTTATAGGAGTCTTTTTAGTTTGGAGGAAGGGTCCTCAGTGGAGAAGCAAACACAAGATGCAGACACCACCAGGCAGCTGTGCTGGGCATATGGGGCTGTAGTTTTCTCCCAGAGCCTCCCTTTTCACATCCCTCAAGAAGTACAACACTGAGAAAGCCCACTCCTTCCTTTCCCATGAAAATTTCAGTGGTGCCAAAGCAGAGGAGATCCCAAACTCTGCTGAAATCTCTGCACTGAGGGCAACTTTGTCCTGGCATTTTTAGCTTCATTTTAGTCAGCTGTTGTAGGTCATATTCCTTCCTGATATAGCCCACCAGCAACCTGGGCTGGAGAACTTTCTCTATGTTGCTAGACATTTTCTATTTCTTCTAAACAGAACTGTCTTGGTGCAGAAGGGGATCTCATAATTCTTGTGTCTGCTGTCTGAAAATGTGATGTGGCAAAAATATGTGACCACCCTACCTCCCTGCCTTTGCCCATCTGGGGAGCAACTAATAATATTTTATGAGTTCTCAGATGGTATTTTCAAATACTTGACATGGATATTTTTTCACCTTGGTTTAAAAGATACTATGAAAAAATAAATCCCAATCATGCTGATACTAATTATTCACATTGTGAGGAAAATAAATGTGTAAATCAGAAGTGAAAAGCAAATGTGGTCCCAAAGCACTGCTGTGAGTAATGTCTCACCAAGTACCCAAAGACAACACAACATTCAAGCTCTTTTTTCCATAAAAAAGAATTTGCTAAACATTCAGAACCAACTGTGAAAAGCAGGACACTGAGATCTCCTCCTTGAATGTCCCTTGGTCAATATTAAAAAGCATGTAGTATCCTCTAGCTTTCAGTTCAACACATTTTCATCTTCTGAACTCCTAGGGACATTTCTGAGTTATTTTAACATGCATACAAATCTTTTAAAGCTTATTTAAAATGCAGTCTTGAAGACATGAGAGAAACAAGTCAAGCCAATGAATAACACCTTTGAACTGCATAAATGCTGCAGAGCTTGTGAAAACAGAGCTATGTTTGACTTTTATGTGGAAAACTCAAAGGGATCATGACTTCTCGCCCATAACAAAAGATGCTTGGGTTTTGTGAAGTTATTCCACACAGAAATTTATGCACACAAATGCCATGTGTTTGGATTCCTTCACACTTTCCATTTAACACTGTACCTTAAAAGCATCTCTGTAACTTGCAGAAATGTCAGTATTTGCAAGGTGTTTTCTCCTAAATGGAAGCAATCACCTGTGAATTAGCCCCTATATTTTTAATCAGAATCAGTGTTAGATTCATGTTATAGTTTTATCATGGAAACTTGCTGAGGGATTTCTGTTTGCCCCTCTTTCCCTATGGCTCACCAAACAATGAAACAGATGTTGTACAAGACCCCAGTCTTCATATACAAACAGACATCATATAATCTATTACAGTATTCTTTAAAGATGCATATGCAATAGGTCTGTGTTTAGCAGCCACTAAGATATTAACAAAAAGCCAAGAACCAGATAAGCCACTGACAATGCAGAAACCATATACCCAAGTACTCTTAGAAAGTACAAATAAATTAAGTTTGTATCAAAACAGGATTTACAAGCACTGACCCATGTGAAGTCATAAAAAACAATGGGAAAAAGGGAGAATCTGAAATCACAACCCTAAATCCACATTATTGACTGTATAATTTTAACTACACCTTGCAATGTTGATGTGATGCAGTTCTTGGCAGTGAACCACAAATTTTTTTGTATTTCTCTTCCACCTCCACATTAATGCTGCCCAGAATAGATAAAGGTATTTGCTCATAAATTCTAGTATTGTGGTTGAAATAAATTGCATGCTTTTGTGTATGTATTTATTTAGATCAGGAATTTACCCTGTGCTAAGAAATATGAACTAGTGTACATATAGGCAAAGAAACAAAGGTTATCACTAGAAAACTTAACTATGTTCTTCTGTTGGTCTCTTCAGTTAGAAGATTTAGCCTTTTGACCAGATGGCCATAAAATTATACATGGAGAACTCCATGAACATATGTAAATGAAATGTTGCCATGAACTTACAAGGTCTCCATTTCTTCAAAGTCCTTAGTGTGACTTGGGCTTAATAGAAGAGACTATTTTAGTCAGAAGGGACCCACAATGATCATACAGTTCAACTAATTTAAATTTTAATATTTTTAAACATTTTTTAAACATTTTCCCCACAGTTTTTAATACCTTTTTTTCTTGTGTACAGGAAATATTTGCAAAATAAGGATTTGTTTTATTGTGAGGTAGAAGACATCTAATAAGAGTTATTTGTATAGCTTTGGAATCCTAGGAAGACCAGTGATGGTTTTACAAAGGCAGAGACTGCTTGCAATGACTATCAAGGCTGCACAAAGTTGAGGCAGATGAACCAGCCCATCAAGTCCCTGAATCAAGACCTGACATGAGAACAGAGAAACCACTGCTGCACCCACCCAGCTGAAAATTCCAGCAAGCCCGTTACCCTGACTTAAACACGAGCTGCCAGCAGGACAGCAGGGAAATTATTTGTGAAACAATCTCAGTGCAAGGTAATCTTTACACCCTGGCATAGATTGCTATATCTCCAGCAAGCTTGAGTGGAATAAATTACCTAAGATGCCATTTTTTTAAACTTGAGAATAATTATTCCTTACTTATCTCCTCCACATCATACAATTTTAGTCTTCTGTTAGATCATTTAGAATCTCTTTTTCAAGCTGAGGAATTCCTGTCTCTTTTTTTTTTCAAAAAGAAGATATACCTAATGTCTGATAATTGTCATTGCCTTAAGCTGTACTTATCCATTCCAGTTCAGATTTGACGAGAAGGGAACAAAATTGTATGCAGCCATCAAAATTTGAGTGTGCACTAGAGTTTCATTTGGCACAGTGATATTTCCTGTTTCTTCTCTAGTCTCTTCCCAGTTGTGCTATGATTCTCTTTGCCTTCATCAGTGCTCCTGAGCTCTACTCCACTGTTTTATAGAGCTGCCTGCTAAGTAACAGCAACTCCTCTGTAGCCTTTCCTCAGGTAATTAGAGCTTGGACTAGTTTTTGCGTGTGGATGTGACTTTGCAATTATCACCACAGAATTTCTTCTGCCTTTTTTGCCATTCAATCATTCACTAGCTTGACTTTTCTGAGAGATGGCAATGAAGGGCTGAATTACTATTGTAATTTTTATTATTATACTACAAATATATACCTATAATATGTAAAGACTTCTGAAACTACCACAGTTTCTACAATAATACCTTCCAATCATGGAAATTCTTCTGTACCACTAAGAAGACAAAGCAAAATCTCAGACATTTCAATTGCTGCTGAGGAAATCTCCTTTCTGAGTATTAAGCCATGTCCAGCCATCACAATACTCTCCTCAGGGCCCTGTAGGTACATTTATTTATCACAATCAAGGAAGGTTACAGACTGGCTGGTAGCTGAGAGTGCTTGAGTTCACCAACCCATGTTCTTTAAGGTATTTGAGAATGTAATTTTAGGCACTAATAGATTAGCAAAGTTGTGCGTAGGCAGATGGAAAATGCAGACACTCAGACAGTTCCTGACTTTGGACAGTTTAATTTAAAACCAGAGTATTGCCACCTGTTTTAAATACACAAATTGTCACTTACAAGAACAAAAAATTATGAAGAATGAGTAGAAACCGAAGTGATCTTGGAGAAATCATTTAGTTGGAAAATGTGTGCTAAACTTCAATAATCCAAAATTTAATGTGAGTCTCTGAGTTTTGTATCCATTTCATGCTCCTCACTCATTTCTTCAACATCTCCTTGAGATTTTTTGGGAGTAGACTTCTCCAAAATATTAATTTTAAAACACTGAGATTTAATGTTTGAGAAGCCATTCTGAATATTTGAGGGAATTATCTTATACAACTATACCTGATGCCTGAGGGTTTTTTTTAGCTATTGTAAAGTTAGTTTCCTAGATTTTGGTCTTGAAGTGAAAGGGCATATTCCCAATTATTCAGAACTCCCTCTGAAAACCAGGAAATAAAGGTGTAATTATGACTTTTGTTTCAGTTCTCTATTGCAGTTCATATTGGTATACCTACTGACATACTTTGAAACAAAGCAAGAAAGTTAGTGCAAGTTTCTAGTCAAATCAATGTCAACTTCAAAATATTCATCTTCTATAGTTAAGTTAGACAAAAATCGTATCCAGAAAAGGTGTCATATGCCTAGCCACAGACACCTGTGTTTAAAAATACTGGTTAAGCATTTGGTGTCTGAAATAGACCTAATGTATTTTGCATTTTTTAGTACACAATATTTCACATATAGTTTGTCCTACCAAGATGATGAATAGATGTGTGAAATCCCTGTGGACAGCTAGCAATATTGGTTTTCACAGTAAGTGATCCCCTCAACATTTCAGTTAAATTAAAGAGGACAATGAAGACATAATGATGGATTGAAGACAAAAGAGTCCAAAAGAGCAGACAGCTCCCAGCCATTCATTATGTCTGATGGGAAAAATAATGCCAACCAGGCCTTAAATTAATGAAGAAATAGAGGAGAAAGAACAGAAGATGCAAGTTGAGGCAAAGATAACAGTCAGTGGAGAACTCTTTTTTGTTGTCTGTCAAATGGAAACCAGGAGACTAATGAAAGTGGTGATGAAAAGAGGAGACAGGTGAAAGACATGCCACTCCCATCCATGAAGCACATAAACCTTA